TGTAGCCAAAGCATCTTCAGTCTATATAATCAGATCTGAAATGTATAATAAGATACATGTAATAGTAAAATGTATAATCAGAATTGAAATGCATAATAAAACAGATTTAAAAAATATATATAATAAAATAGAAGTAAACTGTATAGTTCGAAAGCAAAATGTATAATTAGTAGTAAAAGATTTAGTAACAAAGAAGTAAAAATGTAAAATAAGAAGTTAAATGTATGATAATCCAGGAGTAATATGTATAATTAGACAATGAAACATATAATTAGAAGTAAAATGTATAGGAATATGAACACTAATAAATTTGGTCGTCATGGTCACATTTTCAAAACATAAGAGTGGTATTAATTTTATGTTCTATAAATACATGATGTTTGTTTAAAAGTCGATCTTAAACTAAAGAGTCCTGTATATGTTTATCAACTGCCTCAAAGAGATTAAATTATTGTGCGCATTAAGGTTGTTTATCCAAATGTATATTTGTCCGTTTATCCTGTGTGTAAGAAATATGAATTCGTCAGGTGATTGCCAAATATACATATCTAAAATGATTAATGGAGAGATGGGATGAGATAAATTACGGTAAATTTCTCAACTGATGACCCATTTGAGGCTCATTCATTAGCAGTTCTTATTGTGAAATATTACATTTTACTTTGAAATGTCATTTACCAATCAATCTGTCTCTCAAAATGATTAAGATCAGATTGTAAACATTTCCATAAAAGCATCATATACCTGGAACCGGTGAAAACTGGTGTTTTTTTAATGCGTTTATTTAAGGTCGCCGCCGGAAAGCCCATATGGGCGACCGTACACTCAAGTCGGGTCATCCTAGAGCGTCCCGCCGAGATTTTTCGTCGATTTTTTTCCAGCTTTATTGGTGGAGGAAGACCCCCAGGTGCCCCTCCGGGCATTATTTCAGGCACGAGCGGGCACCTGGGTAGAACCCCGACCTTCCGTAAGCCAGCTGGATGGCTTCCTCGACCCGAGTGAGGATCGAACCCACAGTGGTGAGGGACCTGTGATCTCAAGTCAGCGACTTTAACCACTCGGCCACGGAGGCCCCTGTGAAAACTGGTTCGCCTGGTCCGTACTTTTTAACTGAAATCGCTTGACTTATTCATTACTTGAAGTCATTTCGAAATATTTTCCTATTACTTGTCTCAAAATTGATCACTCTCTTAACTTTTATAATCAAATAATTATGTTGTTACGTCGACTGTTTTAAAATTGTATATAAATAAAACAGAACCATGGCAGTAAGTATTTTACTCTCGCCTTAAAGTATTATGTGATGAAATCATAGGTTTGATGTATTCTTTAATCCTCCTTCGTCTTCTCAAGAATGTCCACCTGTTATATACTGAATGAGATTTTGAGCGAATCTGGAGCAAATGAAATTTCACCACGTTTCAATTTCAAGGACATGTATCTCAGTTGGTTCTCTAGTAATTGCGTGAACGCTGTTTTAAGCAAGTCATGTGACATTGACCTTTACGCATTGGTGCATAAAAACAATAAGGGTCTTTGACTAAAAGACGGTGTCAAATGGTTCACTGGTTATTGAGCAGAAACGGTTTTCACACTAAAGGTCACTGTGATCCAAACCTTCATACTCCAAAACAATAGTGGTCCTATACTCAATTAAGGTGATCATCATTTGAAGTTTGAAGGCTTTATGTCAAATGGTTCTCTAGTTACTGAGAAGAAACGGTTTTCACATTTAAGGTTACTGTGACCCTGACCTTGAGGTATCAGTGACTAAAAACATAAGGGGTCTTTGATTGAGTTTTACTTCACACCAACACAGTATAGATCATATGGCAAATTTCCAGATCTACTGGTGGAGGAAGACCTCAGGTGACATTCCGTGCATTATTTCAGGCACCCGAGTAGAACCACCGACGTTTCGTAAGCTAGCTGGATAGCTTCCTTGCATAAAGGAATCCAAAGTCTCTGTCCGGATTCGAATCCAGCGTGGTAAGTACCAAGTGGTTGGAAGTAAATGATCTTAACGACCCGGCCACAGAAGCCTCATGGGATTTTCTTTTCAATATATGAAGTTTGAAAGCTCGGGGTCAAATGGTTCTCTTGTTATTGAGCTGAATTGTTTTTACATTCAAGGTCATTGTGACCTAGACCTTCAAGCATTGATGACCAAAATTAACAAGAGTCGCTCACCAGAAACAAATGCTTTTCAGTGTTGGAAATTGTCCATTGTCAATATTTTCTGATATTAAATGTGAGCCAATCAAATTAATATGAGCAAACTTGATAAAAGACTACCTAATGATGCTACAAAGTTTGGTGATTATCTATCAATTATTTCAGTAGGAAATGCTGTTCAAAGGTTTTTCTATTTTTGGCTTAAGTGGCCCCTAAAAGGGGCCAATCAAATTTATATGAGCAAATTTGATAAAAGACTACCCAAGAATGCTACAGACAAAGTTTGGTGATCATCCATCAATTAGATCTCTAGATACAGATGTTTAAATGTATTTCTATTTTTTAGCTTTAGCGGCCCCTAAAAGGGGCCAATCAAATTAATATGAGCAAACTTGATAAAAGACTACCCAAGAATGATACAGACAAAGTTTGGTGATCATCAATCCATTAGTTCTGTAGAAGAAGACGTTTAAAGGTTTTTCTATTTTTAGGGTTAGAGACCCCTAAAAGGGGCCAATCAAATTAATATGAGCAAATTTGATAAAAGTCTACCCAAGAATGCTACAGAAAAAGTTTGATGATCATCCATCAATTATTTCAATACATACAGATGTTTAAAGGTATTTCTATTTTTTAGCTTTAGTGGCCCCTGAAAGGGGCCAATCAAATTAATATGAGCAAATTTGATAAAAGACTACCCAAGAATGCTACAGACAAAGTTTGGTGATCATCCATCAATTAGATCTCTAGATACAGATGTTTAAATGTATTTCTATTTTTTAGCTTTAGCGGCCCCTAAAAGGGGCCAATCAAATTAATATGAGCAAACTTAATAAAAAACTACCCAAGAATGCTACAGACAAGGTTTGGTGATCATCCATCAGTTAGTTCTGTAGTAGAAGGTGTTTAAAGGTTTTTCTATTTTTAGCTCTGTTGACCCCTTAAAGGGACCAATTGAAATGACATGAGCAAATTCAAGTGCGACCGTCACAAGGATGCTACAGAGTACAGACCAAACTTGAAGTAAATCTGCCCAGTAGTTTCAGAGAAGAAGACGATTGTTGACGCATGACGATTGCCGCCGGAGTATCCCCCTTTGATACTAATAGCTCACCCTGAGCCTTCGGCTCTGGTGAGCTAATTCAATGAAAGTAATCATAGTATGAAATTTGAAGGTCAAATGGTTCTCCATCTTTATAGCAGAAATTATTTACAAATTCCAGGTCACTGTGACCTTGACTTTCAGGAATGGTCGCCAAAAAAAACAAAACAACAGGGGTCTTCTACTCAACGCGAGTGATCAACTTGTGAAGTTGTAGGTCAAATTGAGCACATTCAAGGCCACAGTGATACATAGGCGCCCAATAATGATAGGTGCCTTATACTCAACGAGGGTGATTACTGTGTGAAGTGTGTAGGTGAAATGGGATCTCTACTTATTCAGCAGATTCGAGGCCACTGTAAACTTGAAGCATTGTAGGGCCTTAATGAGGGTGATCATCCTATGAAATTTGAAAGTTCTTGGTTAAATGGTTCTCTATAATGAGCGGTAAGTTTTCACATTAAAGATCACAGTGGCCTTGACCTTCACGCATGGGCGCCAAAAACAACCGGGGGTTTCTACTCAATTAGGCTGATCATCCTATGAAGGTTGAATGCTGTGGATCAATTGGTTTAACAAGTTAACCTTTTTTTGGAAATGAAATGGTCTGCCGACTGAGATGTGCAAAAAATATATTCCCTTTTTCAAGGGGGACATAATGAATTGGTAAATAAGGCCACACTTCAAGTAAAACACAAAATGTAAACTCCTGATAACTCAAATTTCAGTTCATCTAGCACCCTAACATCAGTGACATTTATTGTGAAACATCAAAGGATTATAGTAAAACAGAACACAGTCAGCTTTTTCAAAATTTTCTATTTTTAATTGGCATTTTTCATCTTTTTTTTTTTAAATTTAAGATTTTATCAAGACCAGGACAGCACCAGCATGTAAATGTACTAGACAAGAAATAACCTTACATACAAATATGTTTTTATCTTTCATAATAAATTCATAAAATGGAAAAATTTACAATCATTTTTTTTTTCTCAATTTTTTTTTTGAATATAGAAACTAAATTGCACAAACATAATGTGATACATACAGCAGTTGTCTTATCTTGTTGCTATAATGTGCTTATAAAAAAAGTGAAGAGAGTGAAAATCTTTTTTTTTTTACATTATACACAATGTCAACAAAGAATAATGTCCCTGCATCTATACGCACAAACATAACAAGTAAAAACCATGATAAACTAAATATGTACTGAATGAAAAACATCAAGTGACGTAACTTTATATATACATGATATTTTTCTCCTATTTTTGTGACTGAAAATGATACTATTGTCCCATATAAAGAATTCTGGAAAGAAAAATATATTGAAATATACAAATTTCACTTTGTGGCCAGCACTTGTTAACTAAATGGTTTATATACTGGTTTAAGTAATCATTCATGACTATCATATAATCATAGTAACTGAGTTATAAAACAATCATACATCAAATAAAACCTGAAAACATTTACAACAAAATTTTTAGATATTAAATATAGATATGATAAGTAGGAATGTCAGGTAGACATTTTTATTCTATTTTTACAGGTAAGTCTACCCTGTATTTTAAATTCACATTTTTTTCCTAGAAGTTATTTTTAAACAATGAGAAAATGAGCTTACATTAATTTTGTTCAAATGATCATAAATGAAGCTCAATTCAGCAAATGAATGATTACTATTAAATCTAACAGGGTCTTAAAATGTTATTTCTTCTTTGGTTTGTAGACACATGTTTACACAATAAAAAAGATATACAAAATATTAAGTTAATTAATGATGAAGAGTATAAGAACAAGAGAGCATGCATTGTTTTTTTTTTTGTTTTTTTTTAGCCAGTGTGTATTTTTAGTCATTAAAATACACATGAACAATCCATATAGACATTAATCCTAGAAATGACTTAATGGAACAATTGAAATTTAAACAATTGACATAGCAAATGAAACATTTACATGTGCTAGTGAAGATGGCTCATCATATCAAATGTTGAAAAAAGCCCGTACGTAAACCTTAAACAAGGGAAATAATTTTGACAAAATGCTAGGAGTATGTATGTATGGTTTTGGATATAATTTAATTAGCCAGATACATTTGTTGACATCATCTGGCCTAGCAGAACATCCAGATTTCTATAATCAATTAACACAACAATATCATGAGTATACTGTTAATATAGAAGGACCAAAGTTCTATTGTATCACTAAGATATATGTAAAAGATAAACAATTTCCATATTGATTCCTACATAAGAAGGACGGCATGCTTGACTATTCACAGAACTTGATAGTACAACAAGTGCCTGAATAATGTACATTTTCTACAGTTCAATAAAGGGCCATAACTCTGTCAAAAATCATGTTAAAGTTACAGGCCTTCAATAGTATTTGTTGCATTAACTTGTCCATAATACATCAGCCACATGATGAAATAAAGAATGATATTGCTTAATGCAAACTGTGTATCTTTCCTTAGCAATGGAAACAAAGTAATAACAGGTATTTGAGACAAACAATAAAATATGGATTTTCAGCGATAATTCATAATCATCCGATACAATACTTGTATATGCATTACTTTCTATATGCTAGGCAGGAATATAACAGACAATGCCAAAAATTGTGTACAGTCTGAACAGATTCCAAAAATGTTGCAAAAAATTAAACCCTTTTGATACTAAGTTTGTTTGTTTGTTTGTTTCATTTTACACCTTTTCCTAACAGAATTTCAGTCATATTGGCGGATAGTTTCCTAACCATCGTTCCTGGAGAGTTACACCAGTACTAGACTACCTTCCTCTGCGCTAAACTACCAAAGCATCTCCCGGGCATCAAATCCACACCAGAGAGGTAACTGGATTAAAGTCATCGACTCTAACCCCTCGACCACGAAGGCGGTTATTTTTGATACTAAGATGGTAAGGTTATTTAAATACACGTCCATTCCTGAAAACTGGCAGAGTAATAGTCCACCATCTCAGACATTATCATCTGAATTTAAAAACTTAACAATTGGTGCTGCAGTTTGGTGAACATATGGCATTAACAATAACAGGCATTAACTTGTGACAGAGCGTTTACAGCAATACATTTATATATCTTATGCAAAAATGTTCTAAATTTTTTATTTTCCTTCAAAAATTATTTTTAAAATTCTGGATCATCTTTATAATGATTAAACACGAGTAAAAAAGTTTTGTATCTACTCCATTATTTTTATGACGTTAAAATGCTGTAGTCTTGAGCTAATTTATATTGTAAATGTATCATGGTATACAACTGATATATAACTAGCTTATACCAGCTGTCAAAGTTTTATCAACGTTAACATACACAAACATACAATCTACACTGTCCTTACAATGTTCTTTTAGAGGAAAAAAATAATGGCAAACATCTTACAAAATGCACAACTGATATAACTTATCACAACAAATTTACAAAAACAAAATTTTAACATTGGTCTAATGTCAGGCAGTACAGATAGGACTTCATCACTTTCTTTTTTTTTTAATCATTTGGCACTTTTTTTAACATAAATTTTAAAGCTACTTTGAACGATTACATCTGAACTGTTCAAGCATTTTTATTGTTTTATTTAATACATTTAAGACTATCACATTTAGTACAGTACAGGAGTGTGATAAACCATTTAATAAAAAACGATATTACACTTATATAATAACACTATGACGCCATTTGCATTATATACAAACATAGCGTTAAAGCGTGCTGTTTGCGTTACACTAATCATGTAGGCGCGTCAATGAAAAATTACTCTTTTTAATGGTTAATCATTGTTACTTTGAATATGTGATAATTGAATATTATTTTCATGTAAGTTCAATACTATATTCATAGAACTTGTTGAATGAAACAATAGAATGCTTGCTTGACGCTCATACAATATCATATTATTCAACTTGTTCAATAAATTTAGTATTTAGTTATCCTGCACTCTTTCAATATCCTTTATTTATATTTGTGACCATGAAAGAAAAATCTGGTTAGATAAATAATTAGGATTTTTCTCCTGTATCAGTCAAAGTTACCAATACAATTGACTTCTATCTATAAGAACTTGATACTGTATGAGCTTCCAATTTGCAGTCAATATGAAGCCAACAGTACTAACAATAAAATATGATAGGCAGGATCAACAAGGAAAGGCGGAGTCCAATTAACGCAACCCCCACATGACCGAGCAACAGGCAGAGTCAAATGAACGCAGCCTTAACATGACCCAGCAACAATGTATCCAGTATAGGACAACATATCAGTCCCATCAAATCAGACTCCCAAACTATTAATAGGCCTGTATCTTTTTTCATTCACTAAACACTTGAAAGTTCAAAATTTAGAGCAGGGCAATGTAGCGGGATTAAGATTATCATGATTGACTTTAATCAGCTAATATAATCTAATCCAGATATTCCGGGTGTACAACAATCAACTCCATTTGATATAGAAATAATTTTAGCTTTAAACAAATCAATTAAGGGCATAGCTATCATTATTTTTTGTCTGAATTTCCAGATAATTCATTCAATCATATTTGCTGTAGATTGTAAATGGATATTGTGTAAGTTTACATTTAATGACAAAAAGCATTACTATTCAAGCATTTTCCACTGACAAATAGCGAAAAACATTATTTTTAAAAGTTCTCCCATTATTTATTCACAAAAACACGAAGACTGGTAATTCTTTTCTACTGAATATCTCAAGCATTAATGATATCCCTAAAAAAAACTATGTTCTTTTTCCTTCACAGTCCTACAGACCTTACTCATGTACATTTTAAACACATATTTCATTGTACACATTTAACACTTTGACATGGAATTTATAAATAAAACTGTTTTTCATACAGAATATCAAACAATTTTCTGTTAATTATAACAATATGAACACATCAATCATCAACTATTACAAAATAAAGTAGACTATATCAAAGCATAACAAAATTAACACCACTTCCTGATTAAAATATACAAAAATTTGTTTCTCTTGAAGTAACAGTAGTTTCAGAAACCTGAGAGTAAATAATTTCCAATCTTTATTCAAACATCTCAAGGAATGCAATTTTTATTTCTAGCTAAGTTTTGAGCCAATTTTTCAGCATGTTGAGTCTTTTATATGAAGGTAATTACTTTATGAACATTAGAGTAACTGTTATTTTCCCCATATAAATCAATGAAGAGCAGTTACAAATTTTTTAATCAACTGAACTTTTGTGGAAAAACAATGGCTAAACAAGGTCCGGAGTTTACAAATTGTAGGCCCATACACCAGATAGTCCTTCTACCCCGCTTATTGAGCACATATTTTTTAGTTTAGCATTTACCCTGGAGCAGCAGATGTGTTAAAGACAACCATTACACCATAGAAGTTGTAGATCTTTTCAACATAATACAAATGAGCCGCGCCATGACAAAACCAACAAAATGGGTTTGCGACCAGCATGGATCCAGATCCATGCTGTTCACTATCACTTTCTCTACTTGTTATAGTGTTTGTAAGGGAACAGCATGGATCCTGATCAGACTGCACGGATGCGCAGTCTGGTCTGGATCCATGCTGGTTGCAAATGCACTATGTTGGTTTTGTCATGGCACGGCTCAAATAGTTCATCTTATATGAAACACTTTAAACAATTCTGAAATCTCAAATAAGTTACAAGTTAGTATACATTTTTGTAGACAAGACTTGAGAAAATGTCACATTTGAAATGATTTTTTAAATAAAAAGCACCTTCCAAATAAAAAGAAAGAAAAAGTATTTTTAACACTTTTAAGGGGTTCTTTTCTTTATTTGGCACACTTTTCTGTAGTTCTATATTGTATGGTAGCAAGGTGACTATCAAAGTTTATATTATAAAACAGCAATATTTCTGTAATACTGAAAATCTTGTCATACAAGATTTAAATGGTTAAACTCATGTTAACAAACTATGGATTAAGACTTAAACTTTCTTGAAGTACAGTTTTTTCTCAAAGAATACTGTAACAGTACAGATAATCAGTTATAAACAGAACAAATTATTCAACTTGTTTCATAACGTAGAAGTGGTGCAACAGTTGACAGGTATACCAGCATATTGTGTTGAAGCATCCAATGATACCTACATTGGTAAAAAATTCTTGAGCTGCAATGTTTTCTTAAATCATGTACATTGGACAATTTCAAGCACTGCAGCATTTTAAATTTACTAACATTTGTTATAAAGACAATCTTGAGTGTTAAAAACAAAGACACCACATTTAAATAAGTTTTATAGACTTTTAACATTGTTGAAAATACACGGAAGTTTTACTCATACATTTTTATCAGGATTAATGCGTTGCCATACACGATATCTGCATCTCAACACATGGCACTATAGGTTTGACTGTATTGTTGCACCCCTAATACATATTAGCTCTTTGTTTTTCAGAACAAAACATTATTTCTCAAATATCATTATAATACAAACCAAACTATGGCATAAATACTATAAACAATAGTTTGCATGCAAGAAAAAATGAATTGAAAAATAAGAATCCCAAACAAAATTCGACCTGAATACAGCTGAAAATACATAAAATTTAATAATGAAATGAGCCGCGTCATGACAAAACCAACATAGTGCGTTTGCGACCAGCACGGATTCAGACCAGCCTGCGCATCAGCGCAGCCTGATCAGGATCCATGCTGTTCGACAACAAACCCTATTACAAGTAAAGAAACTGAAAGCGAACAGCATGAATCCTGATCAGACTGAGCATATGCACAGGCTGGTCTGGATCCATGCTGGTCCCAAAGGCATTACGTTGGTTTTGTCGTGACGCGGCTCATATTATAAACACTGGCTTCAAATAACTAGATGAAACAGAATCACTGTATGAAGGACTAGTACCCGATCATCAGTATTATATCAAGCTTTCCACTCTTATACATGACAAGATACAATGGTGAGAAACTGAAAAAGTCACAACTAGTGTATAATGTTATCAAATTTCTACAAAATTGCTTGGTATAATCATACAAAAAGAGAGGGAATTCAAGTTTCCTCAACAGTAAAACATATACTTCTGATCTCCCATTTCCTTGGTAACAGTTTAATATCAGGAAAGTGGGGGAGGGGGTTTCATTTTTTCAGGAGGCGGGGGAGGAGGATGGCCAGGAGGCAAAGGCGGAGCTTCACCTGCACCACTTCCCGCCCACATCATACCATCTAAGTCAAATCCCGATTGTTGTCTATTAACTAAAGGTTTTGGTTCCCGAGGAGAATTTCTAGTTGACTGAGATCTTTGTAAACTTTCAACTTTTTGTTTTGTTTGAGCAATAGCCTGCATGAGATTAATGTTAAGTAAATTCAGGGTATTTTGGTCTTGTGGACCATTAGCTTGAGTTTCTTCACCATCAGATAGTTCCATACTAACAACAGAATGAGATGACGATGAACGTCTTATACGATTTGAACCCATTTTTGCTGCTTTTGAATTTGAATTCTGTTCTACTGTTTGATCAACTGTTGGTGTACGCCTACGCTTTCTTGAGGGAGATTGTGCTTTGGAGGAACCAGATTTTACAATTAAATCAGACATTGACCAGGGTTGTGAACGTTCCGGTTCAAGAGCATTGTTAGATTTATTTAAAGATGGATCTGAAATGGATGCTTTATGTTTGTACTTATCATGCTTATTTTTAACAGACCAATGTTCACTTGTAGAACCAGTATCTGACAACTTGATGCTCAATTTTAGAGGTTGTCCGTTAGTTTCTGCAACACTACTACTGCTGTGCTTTTCACGATGTTTCTCTCTGTGTCGTTCTTTATCACGCGAATGTTTATGGGACTTATGTTTATCTTTGTGCTTATGTTTATGTCGATGAGGTGAACTATGTTTACCAGAACTATGGTCACTATCAGTTGAAAGACCTTTTGTACTGATTTTAATTTTTAAAGGGGAGTTTCCACTACTTACTCCGGAATTTGGAATTTTCAATTTGAATGCAGAACTTTGTTCAGAACTGTTTGGTTCTTGCTTGATAGCCAAACGTAATGCAGCAGCACTTTCCATTCCAGATTCAGGATCATAGTTTAATTCTTTAATTTTAAAGTCTGGAGCAGAAGAATGTTCAGGGTTAAGGGTAATTTCAGGCTCAAAAATTTCTCCCGGTTCCAGATCCTCCGGTTCGGTTTTAATTTCTTTTTTTATATTTAATTCACTTACACCATCTTTTGAATCTTGCTCCTTTGCCTGTAGATCTAAGGAGTCAGGATCTTGTTTGTCATGTTCTATTAATTTTCTTATAGCAGGATCTGTATTTATATTTACACTGAATGGATCTCCTCCATCTTTTTCTGGAGTTATTTGCACTTTTGCTAGTTCTAACTTTGGCTGTTTAAGATCTGAGCTCTTTATAGGGCTTTTCACTGTAATATTATGGTGAGGTTTAATTGGACTTTTGATATTCACATTATATGGTCTTTCAGATTTGTCTTTATTATTTGAAGATTTCTGGTCAACATTATTTTCAGGAAGTGGGAGACTAACATCTAACTTTGGTGGGCGATGTTTTTGTTCACGACCACTTCCCTCTGAAAATGTTTTATTTAAAAGTTCTGATTCAGCACTTCTATGTTTTACAAGTTTTTCTCTTTCATATCGTGCTTGTTTTTCTCGTTCTCGATGTTTATCTCTCTCGTGTCTCTCTAAAGTCTTCTCCTTTTCAAGTTGTTTTTCCTTTTCAAGTCTTTCTTGTTCTCGACGTTTAACATATTGATTGAAGTCTATAGCGGTTTTTGATTTTTGTAACAATCCTGCCGGAGCTTGAGGATTAGGAACATTAGATGAAACATCGACTGAAGGTAATTGTTCAGGTTTATTTACTGGACTGTCTTTATTTTCAGTTTTTAAATCTTCTTGATGAGGTTTAGCCAGAGGGGCGGAACTACTATTGGAATGAGTTCGACCGTTCAGATTTATGTCTTTTTTAACCTGAGAAGAATCTTTCTGTCGTTCATAAGGTAAGGTCTTATCTCGCGGGTGTTCAGAGGCTGTATTCGGATGATGAGAATCTTTTCTGTGAGGCTGACTGTGTGAATGCCCTTCTCGACGTTCTTCTCTTTTTGAATGTTTAGGATCAGGGTGATGACCAGATTGAGGTTTTCTTTCAGGATGATGAGAAGATGACCCAGGTTTATGATCACTAGGTCGCTTCTCTGGATAATGTTCTTTTTTATGTTCTGTTCGAACATCTTTACTTTCATGAGACTGTTTTTGATCAGGATGTGCATGTTTGCCAGGCTCTGGTCCATCACGTCGGTCATGGTTTGAGTGTTTGTTACTTGTATGTGTAGAGGTAGATGGTCTATTAGAATCTGGTTGTGAACTGCCCTGTGAAGGTCTCTCGTCATCACGACTTTGTCCTTCATTACCCTATTATGAATAAAACACACTTAACTAAGACAAAAGCAATGATAATACAGTAGAACACATAAATATGAGAAGTATGATATATGTAAACTTTCGACTTTATTCAGTATTTCTGAAGAAAAAAATAAATAAACAACAAAGTTTGATTAATATGTACAAAAATTTTCTAATATTTCTATTAACTTCTCATAAAAATATTATATTTTGTACAATAAACTAAGGTCCTGAAGAAGGTCTATAGTGAGACCGAAACCGGTAGACCATCATTAAAAGCAGTTAAACCTACTCTGGTGTTGGTCGTTTTGCATCTCCTATATCCTGCTTTTTCTGTGTTTTAATAAACTAAGATGTACATGGACAAATTAGACATGCTTCAGACCTATGACATAAATCTTCCATTTGGCTGGTTGTATGTTTAAATTATGCTAGTAAAAGCAAGACTTTCATCTACATATATTGAGAATAAAGACTTCTTACTGGAAAATACTTATACTTTATTTAACACAATTCTTATTAGAGTTTACCTTCCATCCCATTATTTTTCTCTTCAGTTTCATTGGACTTTTGTTGAGAATGTTCAGGAAATCATTATATAATTCTGAAAAAAAGAGGAAAATAAATAGAATATTAAGATTCGTTTATAATCACAATTTCTTTTAAACAAGATTGTGTTTATGAAAATTTATCTTACATCAGGATTTCAAATCAAAGTCTTCATCATTATAACATTCAAACAATTTCAAATCATAGGTAAAGATAATAAATCAGTATTTTGCACTATTTTTTTTACATAGGTAAAGATGATACCAGTGCTTTGCATTTTTTACATAGGTAAAATATTATACATGTCTTTTGCTTTTTTTATTAAATATTTAACTGAAGATTACCAGCATAAACTATCTAATAGATTTTGATAAATTTAAAAAAAAATTGAAAACATAACAGCTCATAGGAATTGGTTCATATGAAAATGGTTTTAAAAAAGTAGAAGCTCAAATTTTTTTTAAGTAGTACAGACATTTCTAAAACTTAATTTTTGAAGAGCATGGAGTACCTTCTATGAGTGGCATTGTAACCTTTTGGTCAATATACTGGAACCATTCACGACCTTCATTTGAACGAGGAATCTGAAAATAAACATATAAGGTATATAAAAACCAATATTATGCTATGTACATCCTCATTAACAATATTTTTGTACTGGTCTATTTATTGTTTATTATTCATTTTGCAGACAAGGATAACTACTTCTTTAAAATCAGAAAAGGTAGAATATTCCATAAAAGCGTAACAGTAACAGGCGTGTTTTGTATAAAACCATTGTTACCTCTACAAATCAAGATATTTCTGGTGACCAAAATTTGTGTATGCAAGCGTAAACGGTCCAAAGCCATTGGTTCTGCATAACTTTAGATATACCCATATGCAGAAATATGTTAATCATGCAGTTTTCTTTAAGATGATCAAGGGGAGAAAACTGAGAGAATATTTATATATATACATGCATCCAATTTGCCAAAACAGGTTTACCACATCTACTTCAACATGCTGTTTTGTTCGGTTTTATGGCTCAACACAATTAAGGTCATATGGCGTCAAAATCAGGAAACCTCAAGTGTTACTAACTTAAAGCAACATCAGGGGATAAAACCACCAACTTGCTTATGAGATGCGTATACTCCAGTAATTCGAACCCATTTAGATGTCTCTTACGATCACACTAATCAACCCTTAATAGCAACCTTTCAGCCACAAGGGACCACATTTATGGTCTTTTAAGTTTGGAAGTATGTCATCTAGGATACCATCAGTGAAAATAAAACTCGAGATATATCAACTTTAAAGGCAAAGCTTAACTGTAATATACAATGTGCAACAGATTTAAACTTCAAATTAAGTCTGACACAATATTTCACAAGATATATTTTTAAACCTTACCTTATAATTTGCCCACCTACAAGCCATATATATACAGACACATGCAACAACAGTCGGTCTATGTTGGAGACACAGTGTTGTCATATGTAAACTGTAATAAAAAATTAAACCAGTCATGTACTTTATTGATGAATTACTGCTAAATAGTAATGAATAAATTATAAATTACGCTCTTTGTATCACTGCACTTTGTTAAATAAAATTGTTTTGTAGTAATTTTTCAACAGTAATTGGACATTTTTTTAAGTATCATAATCTAGAACTGGTACTGACGAGTCCCTTTCTTTGAAGTTTGTCATCACAATTACTCATAGAAATTCTTATAGCCTTTTATGACAGGAGACAACCCAGACTCTACACTGTTGGTCACCAAACATTCACAAGGACAAATCTGTTACATAAATTCAGCTAGGATGAAAAATGTTATAGTGTTTTCAAAGAATATTACATCATAGTTTTATAATTTACCTGTTTGTGGCCAAGTAGTAGCTGGTCTTTGAAAGCTCTTTGCTGGCTGGAAAAAAAGAGCATTTGAACATCATTTTATTTGATCATTTTCAAACAAGCATATTACATATAAATTGTCCATGAAGTTACTTGGTTAAATGTACCTTCACTATTTTAACAGGAATACCAAAGTCAAGAATAGATAAAATAGTTGAGGTTCTATTAGTATAAGTCTATCTAATATTCATGGTTCCCACTATTATTTAGGAGTGAAATTCCAGGTTTTTTCCAGGATTTTTTTTTAAATTCCATGTTTTTCAATTTGAGAATTCCCGGTTTTTTCCAGACTTCCCACCAGCCTGTAAAGGGTGAAAACATAATATGCCCCGTTTTTCAAACGGGCATATAAAAATATTGCTCATTTTACTTGCACAAATGAGTCAAATCTTAATTGACCTGTAAGAGTTTTGTCATTTTAATGAAAACAGTATATATTTACATTAACAATATTCAAATTGGCATAAAACTATTAAACATGGGTCAGTCATAACAAAACTTTAATTGTAAATGAGAAACGAAGCAATTATATTAAATTTTCAGCAAAGTAATTACATATGTTTTAGCAGCACCACATGACAAGAAAACCAACAAAGTGCTTGTGTGACTAGCATGGATCCAGACAAGCTTGGCTATCCATGCAGTCACATCAGTATCCATGAAGTTTGCTTTCAGATGTTAAAAATGTTACACAAGCTTTAGGCAGACAGTATGGATACTTATGAGACTGTGCAGATATGAAGGACTCATCTGGATCCATGCTTGTCACAAACACACTTTGCTGGTTTTCTCATGGGGTGGCTCATATATATTATAAAAGATATAATTTTTTTGATGCTAGTCAGATCCAAATGTATAAGGTGTAATTTGTTTTGTTGATTTTTTTTCCGTATTCCTATTTCTCTGTCTCGCAACTGGCGCACTAGCGCAGGCGACATATTTGCTGCATCAACTTGACGACTGTGCAGTAAATTCAAGTGCTCCGGAAACACGGACGTGCTTATAATTTTTTCGTTCGTTTTCATTGTTAATTTCTAGCGAGGTTTCAAAGCCATTACGGCATTTGATGTATAAAAAGCTAAATTTGATTTGTAAAATGTTCAAAATACCAAGATAGCTTGTTAAAACCATCCGCGATGGAAGAAAACATCAATAATCCAAACCAATATGGACATTGCTTTGGCGGCAGCCATATTGTTCAATATCGATTACTTTCCTTAGCGGTACGGTCTAAATCCCGGACTATTCCCGGACGGAGCAAATTCCCGGCGTTTTCACGACCGGGAGCCGCGATTTTGAAAATCACGGACTTTTCCCGTTTTTCCGGTAGCGTGGGAACCCTGAATATTGAACATACAATAACAACTTTGCAGTAAGGTAACACACAATAATATCAGCTGTAGACATACAAAATTTATCAAATAACTTATGCGGTCATTTTTTAAAAAAAATTATTTCACATAATTATTTGACCTTCCCAAAACTATAACCAAAATTTGTTCAACTCTATAACAGTCATAGTCAAGGAAGAAACATTTATGACACATAGAAAGATTACCTTTAGCCAGAATGATTGTGCTTGCTTTAACAACATGGGTATGTGGATGATCTACAGTCACCTCAAATCCTAAAATACACAGAACAACTAAAATAAGAATTATTATACATATAACATATGTGCAGCTGCCTACGATATTGCAATGTTTTGTGCAGAAGCTGGCTGGAGTATGAATGATTAGCTTTAATAACCTGAAAAAGGAACTATAATGGTTTCTTATTAATATGAAAACTGGATTTGATGCCAGTTAAAGTACACAAGGCTTGTACAAAATAAAAGAGCAGAAACATTAAAGTAACATAAGCATATGATAAGACAAAGAATAGTTATGTTTATACATAGAATGGAATTGTAATGTCATCAAACAATACATGTCCATGGACAGTGCGCTCCTCCTTGTTTCAAAAATCAAAATTTCAACTAGTTAGGTTAAACGATGAATTCTGCTTAAGTCGGTGCTAGAGGGCCTGGACGGAAAATTGCACTTTCCAGTACCGTCCATGAACAGGTTCAAACCAAGCCTGCAACATTTTCAAGTGAGACCTTGATCTCTGAGGTAGGGGCCTGATTGCTGCTCATGACACATTGTCTTATTGTGGTGAACATTTACTACAAGTTATGGTCCAGACACAAAGTGTGACCGATGGACAGATGCTGCCCATTACTACATATCCCCTTTTTTTCTATGAAAAGACAGGGAACAAAAAAGGCCTGGATGGGAATACATGAAGACAGAATGGTTCGTTTTTAATATTCACCTTCAATGAAATCTTTTTGCTTATCAGGTATACAGGCAAGGTGATTTCAGTTTCATCGAGAATCAGAAATTTGCACATAGGACACGGATGCACTTTGTAAATCTACAGACAGCCTGACTTTCAAGGGCAAATCTACATGCCCCCTACTTAGTGATGGGGGGCATAAAAACAATACAATAATATTGGAGATATAATTATATTGCTACAAATGAGTGTGTACTGAGTATACACCCACCTAGTGTCTGTAGCAATATGTTTTCATTGATGACAAGTTGTTGGGCCTGCTCCAGGTAAGCCTGAAAGTATAACAACTCTGATAATTTCTTGCCATAAAACATTTATACATATTCAATGTGAAACATTTAAGCAATGGCTATCTATTTATTAAACAACTTTTAAATTCTTCCACTAATTTCTGAAAAGTGCCACATTTTGCCTTCTTTGCAATGCAGCATACTTAAACCAATGGCAGTGTTTTCATATGCAGTTTTGAAGCCAAAAAGTATCTTTCTTCACAAATGTTCTAGTTACTGACCAAATTGTCAACAACTTAAAAACATGAGAAGTGAAGGGAAAAGTCCTTGCCTGGTATCAAATCAATGCGGCACAAATTAAGGGAAAAGTTTAATAGTTGTTTACAATTCTTCATTGAAGTAACTTTATAACTTTTTTTACAAAGTGATATTTAAGTACAGGAATGCTGTAAAGCTCTAGTAAATGACAATTGAACTATGTTCATGATACCCAAAAAATCTTTAAGTCATAAAACTTGTGATGTGTCAATATTTTTGGCAGATGTTAGCTTAATTACAGTGTAAGATATTCGGATTTGAATCCATTAGGCCGGTCAGACTACCAGATTGGAATATTCACTAGCCCAAAAGATATTTCACTAGCACGATTCATTTGTTCAAAACAGTTGCCTATAGTGCCTCTAAAGATACAGTAGCCTGGCCGGGCTTGTTACTGTGAAAAGTTGGTAGCCCAAGGAGAAATTTAGTAGTCAGGGGCTATAGGACTACTGCTAATTTCGAACACTGTAATTATGTGTCTAAAACAAATAAAATTGAACCTCTGTCCTTGGATCAGGAGTTGGTGTATTATGATCTCTGTTTAAACAAGCATGGGCCACTTTGATGACATGCTCCAACTTTCTTGGCTGCTCCTCAACCTTTGCTGCCAAAAATAAACATGCTGGTGCCATTTCCTGAAATAAATAATCACAAAAAAACTTAATACTTTTACAAAAAATCTATATCTAATTTTACCAACACTGTATTGTAAAGGTCATAAGGAAAATTTCAAAGTTAAACCTCAGGTGTTCCTACATGCATTTATTTCAGGTAAGTAGAACCACTGACACTCAATAAGCTAGCTGTAGCTTCCTCACATGAAAGAATCCTGGAAGGCTTCTAGCCCACAGCAGTGAGGGGCTAGTAGTTTGAAGTCAAAACACCTTAGTCACTCTGCCACAGTGGCCAGACACCTTCATTAATGATGCCAATGACAAAGGTAGATAGAGGAAATGGCAGTTCAAGATGAAGTTGCATCAAGGGCTACTTTTATTCTGATACTGATGTGATTTTTCCTGAATCAATCTAACTGCAAGTAAGCCACACTGCATACATGCTGATCATTGGGATACAATTTGTAACAATGTATATCAAACATAAATAAATTCACAATATTGTGCCACACAATTCATAGGTAATGTCCTTGAAGGTTCAAGTAGTATGTGCATGCAATATAAATGAGGAACTTTTACTTACATTTCGAGGAAATCTAGAGAAGGATCTGAACATGTAGAATCTATGCATGTACACTATGGCTGTGTTTATACACAGCTGCTCACTGATAAATATGTTAAGGAAAAATCTTTTATTTCACATGTAAATCATAACAATACAGGGCATTTTTAACCCTATCACCTGATTCCGAAATAGGGCCCTTTTCCCAATCCAAAATAGCCTCTTATTTTCCCAATTACGACTTCCCGAAATACGTTGGTCAGACGGACATGTCCGATAAATTTTGATACGGTCCCAGGGCTCGACATTAAGGGTTGTCCGACTGCCCGGGACAACTAAAAGTTTGGTCCAGGCAAGTTATTTTGAAAAGCACTTGTCCGACAGGGCAAGTGAAAATAAAAAGCATCATTGACAAAATGCAAACACAAATTTTCGTTTGATTTTGATTAATTTTATTCAGTCTAACAAATTTTGTTTTGGTCTGACAGATTTTCATGGTTTGTCAGACCGAATGCCCGACTTTTTTTTAACTTGCGGGAAGTCTGCCAATTAAACAAAAAAACAAACAAAAAAAACAATTCTTTTGTATTGAATACAAAAGATACAAATTGTCCATCTTATAATGCATGAACGGACTTGCAGGACCCCTACAAAATATGTCAAAACTACTCTAACAATGCAAAAGATGCTACAAAAATATAGTAAAAACGAAAAATTACAGAAGGTTATTTCCATGCTTTGAGAATGTATTTAATAATTGTGACCAAGGATCAAAACCACCAGGTTAAGGGTATGAAATCACTAACTGCTATTTCATTCCAAGTTTCTAAGTTAGTAATCCGTACACACCTATTCAAAACAAGGAATGAAAAGTTTGTTAGTGTTTGATAAAAAGCAAAGTCTTGGCAAAATGCAGAATATGCAAGAGGTTTGGAATTCAACTGATTTATAATGAAACTGTCCACGAAATGGTATAACATGAAAAACTATGTGGCTAAAAAAAACTTGGTGAAAACTAATTCAATATTGCGGTGCTTATAACTAGTTGCTTGTCCAATTACATTATGTCCCAGTCTGAATTCATACTTTACTCTCAACACAAGTGTTTAAGTGCTTGGTCCAGAAAAAATGTAATATATATGTATTTATATATGTATGTTTGTGTGTATGTAAATGTCAGGGTTCTTGCTCATTATGCATATCTTTACCTTTCTTGTCATTTTATTGCTTAGTCTTTACCAGGTTTTATTTATAAATAATTTGCTAATTTTTTAGTGTGTCTATGCTGTATATAATGTATACTTGATGGTTTTTAGTTGTTTTTTTTAATTTTGCGCCTTCTATGTAGTCTGTAATATGTATCTTGATGGATGTTAAGTATATCAGATTCTAATATGTATTTCTTTGTTCTTTTGTATGATACTGGTGAATGTTAGAACAACTTTCTTGTGCAAGCCACAGTTTCACTCAACTTTGACTTCTACTGGTTTATAAGTTTGAGACAGCCCCTAAATTGCTTTACAATTCATCATAATGTATTTTATGTAATGCCAGTTTCAATTAGTTCATACTGCTGGCAATTAGTGAAATATTAACTAAAAAAGAAAGATTTAAGATGTTTAAGGAGTGTGTATCCCTTTATTGTAAAAATTTGGGTATGACTAATTTTTTTCGTTTGATTTTATCGTTTATTTAGACCACATGGCATTCGACGGGCGCGAACATTTCTCGGTGCATTTTATGTATATCGAGCGATTTATCATCTGTAACGTTTTAGTTTACTCCTGGCTGGAAGGTCTCTTATTTTTCGTCATAAACAGTCAGCGAACGGCGATTTTAGAAGCCTTCTTTCGATTTCATAATCGAATTCCTTATGAAAACCGACAGAGAAGGTTCCATTCGCAAGTGCGCAACGTGTAGGATACACTTGAAGTCTTTGACCCATGTCTTGGATCAGATTGGCAGCCTGTTGACGATAGGAGAGTTCTTTGTCGGCATCTATCCCACACTTTCGACTGGGAGTGTTTGTTAGTTGTTCTGTAGTAAACATCCATCTTTGAGCCGCCATTCCCCAGCACCGAGATGAAAATTTGTTCTCTCTGCGCTTGCGTATTGATACGGAGTGAATAGTATTTCTGATTTAAATGGCAGTTATTTTACTTTATTTAATAAAATTGTTAAATAGATCAACTAATTTATGAATTTATTTTTTATAATAGAAATATATAATAAGTGTGAACATTGATTCATTTTTTACGCATATCATTATTTTGCTGAAAAAAGATAATCCAGTCGATGAGAAGGCATTGGGCATTCCCGTTCAATTGGGACGGGAGCTACGTGCAAGTGTGAGTGAGAAAATTAAGGATTTTTCGTTGTTCACCACGGGTAAAAATTCCGTTTTTGTAGCAGAAACGACCGAACGCGATTTTTCAATAAATGTATCATATTATTATTCAGAATCTTATGGCAAAATGCTTGCATGTCTGCGTAATACTTTCCAACAAGTCGAAAGTAGGTCAAAATAATTTTGCGATAGACTTGATAGGGGTCGTTTCAAACTTATTTTATTTAGGTAGAAGAAAAGCGTTTTCTTAAATATTTTTCAAGTCGACTCCTTTTGGCCAAAGGGGTACGGCTCATTGAATGTTCACAAAATATGTATTTGATGGTAGAAAACATTTATCCTAAGTCAGAAATGAATTCTAAGTCCATTCCCATTACACTATATACTAATATAGGAAAAGAGTCAACTCGGCCCTATACCAACTCGGCACGGGTCAACTCGGCACGGGTCAACTCGGCCCACTTTACAAAAATATATATAACGTATTAACTTTGCTTTGCATGTTGTTAAGGTAAATGAATAATAAGAAATATCTTATTATTATGGAAGTGGCTAGCCGTACGGGCCCGTATCGCACTTTTCAAAATTATATAGAAGTCGATCATGCATGTGTTATTTTGTGCCTCATGATTATGATTTGTTGTTTTATTTGACTGAAAGATGATTTTTGGTTAATTAAGCACATGGATCGAATAAATAATGATCGGAGTGGAATAAATAAATAAATAAATAAAAAGAACATTGAAAAAAAAAAACGATGAAAAGCAAAAATAATTGTATAATTTTCAAATACAGTAGATAAATATCGAACATAAAAGCACAATCAATTAATAAGCCTTAAATAAAGCCTACCCAGGGACTGACAATAGAATTTTAAAATGCGTTTCACGGAACATGCAAACTTTCAAGTAATGATGGACAAACTTCTATACCGTCGGTAATTGACGCAAATATCAGAGCCTAACAATAATTATTTTCTTTTTTTTTTCATTTTAAAGGTGTCGAAAATTAAACTCTATGAAACAAAAAAGGATTATTATCAAAATTTTGTAAACTATTTCAATTGATGTTATTTAACTGCGACCTAACGCTATTTTTTCTCGATGTCTTGAGATGATAAAGATCGATATTCATACTTTTTTTACTGTAGCCAACAAGGCGATTAATCTCTATTTAAAGTAAATATACGAAGACAATTACTATTTCTTGGTTAAAATCCTCGCTTAAAGTCATGAAATAACATATGTATTTTCGACTTCTATATAAATTTGAAAAGTGCCGTACGGCTAGACAATGCAGCGAGTCCTGGCTAGTCGTACGTGACTCACGTACGGCTAGAACTTTTGGCTAGCGGTACGGGCCCGTACGGCTAGCCACTTCCTATTATTATATAATTATAGATTGTACTTCTTCTGAAATAAAGTATATTAAGAAAAAAATGTTATTTATCTGTCGATAAAAATAATATAGATCTAGATTCTAATAAAATGTGTTAGTAAAGTAATATTTAAAAAAAATGAAACAAAAACTTAATATCATAAGCTTCTAATTAAATCTTCCGTATAAGCGCATTGATTGTTGCCGAAATTCATTTGCACGTGTCATGCGTTTTTTTTCTTCTATCAAATAGAAAGACCTTGTCTGTGCATTTATCTAGTAAAAGTAATAAAGAACAAAACAGAAGTTAAATATGTAAAAATACTGTGGTGAGATACGCAATCGTTTATCTTTACTCACAATTCTACTGATAAGAAACGCTTGTCTGCTGCTAGTTCGAAACTGTCAATCCGTGTATTATAAATAATTACAATAATTACAATAAATAGTGTTAACACAAACCTAAATAGTAATAATTGAAAAGTGGGCCGAGTTGACCCGTGCCGAGTTGGAATAGGGCCGAGCTGACTCGGGGGCCGAGTACGTTTTAGGGCCGAGCTGACCCGGATTCCTAATATATAGACAAGGGTAACAACTCCCATAAGAAGGTGTCTATGCCCAATCAGGGTTTTTGCCTCGTAGTTTTTTACACGATACAGCATAAATAAAAAGGAATTATGCAATTTGTAGTTGAATGATTTATCTATCGAACCAATGTAAAACTTTTCTTATATCTCTTATACTTAACGAGTACTTGCCGTCAAAGTAACAAAAAACTGTTCATTTTCGCGAGGTCGACATCGATCGTGGCTACGCAGGAAACACAAAGTTACACGACTGTTGCAATCGTTGGAGATAATATCACAAGCATTTATCATGCTGGGCAATTAAAAATACATAAAAGTAATCAAAATATACCAATAACCTATAATGACAATGTGATATAAACTCACCTGCGGCTTCAAAATATTTCCCCGTTGAAATTTCTATAATATACACGTAAATTTCCGAAAAAAAAACGACCAATCAGGTGACGTTTGTTTACATTCGTCAAGATGGCGGTGTTTTATAGAAATTTCAACGGGGAAATATTTTGAAGCCGCAGGTGAGTTTATATCACATTGTCATAATAGGTTATTGGTATATTTTGATTACTTTTATGTATTTTTAATTGCCCAGCATGATAAATGCTTGTGATATTATCTCCAACGATTGCAACAGTCGTGTAACTTTGTGTTTCCTGCGTAGCCACGATCGATGTCGACCTCGCGAAAATGAACAGTTTTTTGTTACTTTGACGGCCAGTACTCGTTAAGTATAAGAGATATAAGAAAAGTTTTACATTGGTTCGATAGATAAATCATTCAACTACAAATTGCATAATTCCTTTTTATTTATGCTGTATCGTGTAAAAAACTACGAGGCAAAAACCCTGATTGGGCATAGACACCTTCTTATGGGAGTTGTTACCCTTGTCTATATATTAGTATATAGTGTAATGGGAATGGACTTAGAATTCATTTCTGACTTAGGATAAATGTTTTCTACCATCAAATACATATTTTGTGAACATTCAATGAGCCGTACCCCTTTGCTTTTGGCACAAGAGATCAAACAACACAGTCTGAAAGTAATGGGTATTATTTCTTTCTTAAACTTTACATTATTGTCACAACCCTTATAGTTCACTTGTTTTCTTGAAAATCATAAAAACAACATAAAAAATTTATATTTGATTTTTTACAAGTAAACATAAGACAAACACTAGTACTGGCATGCAAGCAGTTTCCGAACAGAAGCAGTACCCTTTTTATTGCGTTTAAACGCTTGATTAATTTTTTTCCGCATAGTGGAAAGGGGATTAAAGGAATGGTGTCAGTCTGTCTGTCTGTCCATAACACTTTCATGTCCGCTTCATAACTTTTTAACCGTTGAAATTTTTTTTAGATAACTTGGTACAAGTGATCACCAAAATGAGACAATGTGCAGAACACAATAATTGGGTTGTTACCCCAAAGGCCAAGGTCACACTTAAAGGTCAATGTTAAAAAGTCTTCATTTCATAATAAAAAGTCTACATTTTCTGTCCGCTCCATAACATTTCAACTGCTGAAATTTTTTTGAAATTTCTTGGCACAAGTGATAACCAGAATCATCACTCACTGCCACAAATGAGACGATGTGCAGAGCACAATAATTGGGTTGCAACCCCCAAGGTCAAGGTCACACTTAAAGTCTTCATTTCATAATAAAAAGTCTACATTTTGTGTCAGCTCCATAACTTTTTAACCGCTGAATTTTTTTAAATAACTGCACAACTGATAACCATGATGAGATGATGTGCTGAGCAAAGTAATTAGGTTGCTACCCCCAGGTCAAGGTCACACTTAAAGGTTAAATGTAAAAAAGTCGACATTCATGTCTGCTCCATAAATTTTTTAACCGCTGAAATTTTAAAAAAGATAACTTGGCATAAGTGATCACCATAATAAGAACATGTGCAGAGCGCAATAATTGGGTTGCTACCCCCAAGGTCAAGGTCACACTTAAAGGTCAAATGTATAAAAGTTTACACTGCATGTCCCCTTCATAACTTTTAAACCTCTGAATTTTTATGCCCCCACAGAGTGGGAGCATATAGCGTTGCACTTGTCCGTCCGAGTGTCCGTCCGTACGTCCGTCCGTCTGTCCGTACGTCCCGAAATCTTGTGAACGCAACTCCTCTTAAACCGGATGGCAGATTTTGCTTAAACTTCCAGGGATGAACAACCTTAATGTGTAGATGGTAGAAAAGGAAGGAATTTTTGCTGCGACCGAATTTAACAGAATTATGGCCCTTTGTTGATTTTTTCACTATTTACTATGTAGAAATTTTGTGAACGCAACTCCTCTTAAACCAGATGGCAGATTTTGCTTAAACTTCCAGGGATGAACAACCTTAATGTGTAGATGGTAGTAAAGGAAGGAATTTTTGCTGCGACAAAATTTTACAGAATTATGGCCCTTTGTTGATTTTTTCACTATATACTATGTAGAAATTTTGTGAACGCAACTCCTCTTAAACCGGATGGCAGATTTTGCTTAAACTTCCAGGGATGAACAACCTTAATGTGTAGATGGTAGTAAAGGAAGGAATTTTTGCTGCGACAAAATTTTACAGAATTATGGCCCTTTGTTGATTTTTTCACTATATACTATGTAGAAATTTTGTGAACGCAACTCCTCTTAAACCGGATGGCAGATTTTGCTTAAACTTCCAGGGATGAACAACCTTAATGTGTAGATGGTAGTAAAGGAAGGAATTTGTGCTGGGACCAAATTTTACAGAATTATGGCCCTTTGTTGATTTTTAGTTTTCAACTTGTGGTTCATGTAGTCCAAAAAATATTTGACCTAGAGTCATAAGATTGACAGAACAGTTGCGTGTGGGGGCATCCGTGTCCTATGGACACATTTCTAGTTTTTAAATAGCTTGGCACAAGTGATCACCATTATGAGACGATGTGCAGAGCGCAATAATTGAATTGCTACCCCATGGTCAAGGTCACACAGGTCAAATGTTAAAAAGTCTACATTCAGTGATTTTTTCCCCTGTATTTTACAGCTGCTTAAAGGCTGTTTCCCCTAACCCAAAATAGGTATATTTTCCCTTAAAAATGCTAATATTTTCCCCTAAAATGCTGTGTGCTTATTCTTAGCGAGAGCAGCTGACTTATATCAGCTTGTTCTAATACAGAAAGCTGTCCCTATAGATAGCCTCTGCTATGTACCATGCATGTTAAATTGAACTGAAATTGAACACTTTATAAAATTTGTAGGTAAATTTCATTCTCAATTCAATGTTGGAATTTGATTTTTCCCTTTTCTTATTTCCCACACTGTATTTTCCCCTTCAGAAAGCCACAGGTTGTATTGAAAATTGAAAAAAAAAATCACTGACATTTCATGTCCGTCCATAACAATTGAATCACTGCAATGTTTAAAAAATAACTTTGCAGAAATAATCACCATTATGACACCATTGGCAGAGCACAAAAATCATGTCAAAACCCTGAAGGTCAGGGTCACACTCAATGGTCCAATGTCAGTGTTTTTTTTCACCAAAATATTCGGCGAAATTCTCCCTATTCCCCCCTCAAAATAGTATGTTTTTTTCCCCCCTCAAAGCTGAAATTTTCCCCAATAATATGGCAGCCCAAGTTTGCCTGCAATGAATATCATTTTTTTGCAACTAACTGCCTAAAAATGCTTTATTTTATGCCTGTAAGACTTACTGTTAAACAAGGTTTTTCATATAGGTAAGGGGAGCTACTCCTGGTATCCCAAGAAGTTTATCATGTGACACATCAATATTTTAGATCTGTATAAAAATCCCCTTCCTATTGCATTTTTCCCCCTCCAATGGGCACCGACCCCCTTCCCCCAAAAGTGAAAAAAAACACTGAATGTAAACCATCTATTTTTCATGTTCGCTCTATAACTTATTGACAATTCAAAGATTTTAAAATTTCTTGGCACAAACTCCTTTTCTAGGGTTTATTCTAGAAATCTGGAAGTAGGGACAAATTAAATTTATTAACCCCTCGCTTTCCAAAACAGGGGGGATCTTAAAAATTATGGGGTGCCAGTATCAAATGCCAGTTTTGGTTTTAATGTGTTGAGCCAGTATTGAATGTTTTAATGTTTTGATTTACCAGTACTATGAAGCTACATAATATTATAATTAATTGAGACTGTATAAGAACAGCTTTGTAAACTACAGCACTGGACACACGAAAACACATATATTTCTGTCTGTAGTTTGTTTGCTCAATACATAATTACATTATGAGGCCAGTATGTATGAAAGTGTTTAATTTTTTCAGAAATTCTTCCACAGTAACAGATAATGTACCGCTCGTCGACCAGAACATCATTTCTTGGTAATGGACGTACAAAAACACCAGTTGAGGGTCTCTTTTGTATGTATAGTCATAGAGTGTGCATGCAAAATAGACTTGAAGGGTACGAGTACTGTTTGAAACATATACTTGAAGACAAAAACGCTCCTTTCAAACAGTGTAGTTATTCATCGGGGAAACTTGGAAAGAGATGTACTAATGCATCACCGAAATCAGACAGGAAAGACGGGTAAGATTTGATTAAAATTCTTGACTGAAGCAAAAAATGTTTGCCGTATAATAAATTTATAAGTCAGAGTGCATACATACATGTTGTAATTTGTGACAGGGTTAGAAAATGTGTAGTCAGAAGTTCTGAACAGAACTCGAACATGGACAATCAGAATAGTGTAGTGAATTGTTCAGAAGCTCTACCGACTGAGCTACCATGCTATTTACACATTTTTGTGTGGCCTACAGAGTAGCAGCAACATACAGGGATCACTACTTTGTCATCCATCTGTCCCCATGACCAAAATAGGGTTGGGGGCCCATCTAACAGGAAACACAACAAAATAAAATTCATTTCATACCAATAGAGTAAGGGGCCACTGGCCCTCTATTAAACAAAAGAAAAGGCCTTTAAAGTAGCCAAGACTTGTATAGATCCTTTTCCATCGTCACAAAACTATTACTCCTAAATACTCCTGACTACTCCTAAAAACTATGGGTGCAATTATATTCAAGCAGTACCAACTTAAGTTGTACATGGTATTGTTAGCATTTTCCAGTTGGCTGTTCAAGGACTGGTCAGAGTTATGACCCTTTAATTATTTTTATGTATAAAAGTTTGTTTAAACTACTTCTTTTTTATTACAGACCTATGCAATTCGAGCGAAACTTTACAGGATTAATCAGGGACCTCAAGTACTTGCGCATATTTTAACAGGTTTTCCAGTAGAATGATTTTTTGCTGAGTAATGGCCATTAAATGAAAAAGGCATTTTGGCCTGTTAATTATTTTTGTGTCTCCTGCTACACAGAAGCTGCAACATGCTTTAAAGTAGCCACATCATATAGGGAAGAAACTGTGAAATAACCCCTCATTGCAACTGCTAAATTTGCTGTTATCAGATGACACAGTCAAGTGATCACTGATTGCTTATTTTAAAGCCAACATTTTGTCATATTCCCAATTGAAAATAGTATATGATTTTCCTAATCCACAGGAAAAAATTCCAAATTGAAAGTTTTAAAATAAAATTATTGAATAACAAATTCTAAAATCTTTGAAAGTAATGGCTTCTTCACTGTTATGGTGCTTAAATGTTTGAAGATGCCATCCTAGACAGTAATTCTTTGCATTCATTTAATCACTGCATTTTCCCCCAATCTTTAACAAAGAATTGCTAAAATTCCTAATTCCATGGGTATGGGTCATGTTCCCAAAATTCTGGTAAAGAAAACTTGGGGTGTCAAATGTCACAGACATGCAGGGTGTCATGGAAAATGTGCAGCTTAATAATAAGAATATTGCAGCCTGAAAATTGTTCCACAACACAACTTTCCAAATGTTTTACCTTACCACTTGTACATTTTTTCAACATAGGCATCACACCACATGTAAAACCTGAAAGTCAGATACAGTGATTTAGTGTTGAATTGAGTGTAATTGTTATTATTTTTTATTACTATTAGAGGGGTATTTTGTTTTTGGAAAGGAGTAAAAGTATACATTCTTATTTAAGAGGAGGATGGGACTGCATTGGCCTTTAAAAAATAACACAGGTTTACAGATGTAGAAACAAGGAGTGTTTGCTTAAGAACTGCAATTAACTTCAAAGTGATGAATTCTGTATTCTTTTAATGATCATTTTTTTACCACATAAACAACTTTTGTATTACAGATACTGTATGGAGCATGCAAGACGTGCCATGTTGGTGAGGCAGAGAACATCGAGGAAGAAACGCCCTAAAGAAAGTCCCGAGACTTTGCTAGAAGGTCTGGATCATTATACTACATTTGGTCGGGCTAACAGTGATGGACATAAAGAGAAATCGTTCACTGTTGCCAGTAAAGCTTTAGGTATGAAGAAAAAACATTTTTAGAGGTACAAAAAGTATATTGGACATTTAACATTATGTCCCTGGTTGTCAGTCAATTAGTAATTTCATGACTGTCTGCTTTTATTTTTTGATAAAAACCAATGAAAGGACTTTCAGCAGGTTTTGGCTCCTCAGATGATGATCAAAGTCTTTTCAGACCTTCAACATTGTTCTTTATGTTCATATCAAAAGGAGAATATCATGTAATTAGTGTTGTAAACAGTTATTTAAAGAATAATAAGAAGGAAAGTGCATATTGTATTGCTTATATTACTTGTATTGATTAAACAAGTAACAAAGTACAGATAAGATTGAATGCAATATATGCTTAGAAATGTCTCAGTTAAATATTTTGTTTTATGAAATAAAGGAAAATCTCTGTTGTAAACTGTTTTTCACAAATTATGTCAATTTTGCATGTTCTCTAACTATTCAAGGCAAATAAAGCTTAAACTTCACAATTAAGAAACAACTCCTGCTTGTCTGTCACAAATTAGAAAGACCTTGGCGGCGTAACAAATCAGTATTGTAATGATTTAACCCCCTTTTAGGAAAAACTGAATCTAGTATTAGGTTTTATTCCACAGAATATGCAAGTTCAAGTGACTCTGATGCAGAAACTCCAGTTGTTGATCAGGCATGGAGAGGAGATGGTGATAGTGATGCTGAGAGTGTGGATAGTGAGCAAGAGGATCTTTTAAAGTAATTTAACATCTTTTACATTGAGGATTAATGAGTCATTGATAATCATTTACTAAGATGTATATCATTCAGGGGCCCCTGAAAAGTTCAAAGAAGCGAGTGGAAAAAGCATGTGGTAAAGCACTGCTTAGTATTTTTACTGCATCCTTATATCACTGTTTGGCAATATAAGCTGGCAGGATATTCTGCAGTATTCAACATATTAGCCAGTTGCTTTTGCATACAGAGAGCCAGCGTATTCACTATTAGATTGCCCACTTGACACTTCAATAAATAATCTATTGGTGGCTTGCAAGGTGTAATTTATATGTGACAAATGATCTCGCACATTGAGACTTATGGTCATTTGTCTCTCAAAAGATAATAATTATAGAAATCATGCGGGATTAGTAGTCAGTCACATGCAGAGAAAATGATTATTACTGGTTAGTTATCCAGGAAAGCCGGTTATGTGGATCGAGTGCTGAGATATGACCAAGAAAATGTGTTAAAATCAGCATAAAAATATATAAAGACAAACTTTCACTGTGACAAATAATCACCTCTCTGAGGTATATCATTAAATATTGTTCTATTGTGTTGCTTATCTGCCATGTGCTTCATTGTTTACAGAGATGTATATCATTCATCAGTGTGATATATATTTTTCACTGTGATATATATTCTATCTTTGTGATATATAACATTCACTTTAATATTTACATATAGATCTTTCACTTTGTCAGATGCATATCATTCACCGCTGTGAAGTTCATGTTGATGAAATTATTATGTGTCATCTTTGTACTGTAATGTATAACTTTTAATTTTGATATATATCATTCACTGTAAGCATTAATTTTTAGCTCACCTGTCACAAAGTGACAGGGTGAGCTTTTGTGATCGCTTTTCGTCCGGCGTCCGTCCGGCGTCCGTCCGTAAACTTTTGCTTTAAATGACATCTCCTCATAAACCACTGAGCCAATTTCATCCAAACTTCACAGGAATGTTCCTTTGGTGGTCACCTTTAAAAATTGTTCAAAGAATTTAATTCCATGCAGAATTCTGGTTGCCATGGCAACCAAAAGAAAAATCTTTAAATATCTTCTTTTAAACAACCCTAAGAGCTAGAGCTTAGATATTTGGCATGAAACATCTTCTAGTGAATGTCTACCAAGTTTATTCAAATAAAAGCCCTGGGGTCAAAATTGGCCCCTCCCTAGGGGGTCATTGATTTTCCCTATATGCATATAGTAAAAAGTTAAAAAATCTTCTTTTAAAGAACCCAAAGAGCTAGAGCTAAGATATTTGGCATGAAACATCTTTTAGTGAGTGTCTACAAAGTTTGTTCAAATAAAAGCCCTGGGGTCAAAATTGGCCCCGCCCCGGGGGGTCATTGATTTTCCCTATATGCATATAGTAAAAACTTAAAAAATATTCTTTTAAAGAACCGTAAGAGCTAGAGCTTAGATATTTGGCATGAAACATCTTCTAGTGAATGTCTACCAAGTTTGTTCAAATAAAAGCCCTGGGGTCAAAACTGACCCCGCCCCAGGGGGTCATAGGTTTTCCCTATATGCATATAGTAAAAACTTAAAAAATCTTCTTTTAAAGAACCCAAAGAGCTAGAGCTAAGATATTTAGCATGAAACATCTTCTAATGAGTGTCTACCAAGTTTGTTCAAATAAAAGCCCTGTGGTCAAAATTGGCCCTGCCCCAGGGGGTCATTGATTTTCCCTATATGCATATAGTAAAAACTTAAAAAATCTTCTTTTAAAGAACTCAAAGAGCTAGAGCTAAGATATTTAGCATGAAACATGTTCTAATGGGTGTCTACCAAGTATGTTCAAATAAAAGCCCTGGGGTCAAAACTGGCCCTGCCCCGGGGGTCATTGATTTTCCTTATATGTGTATAGCAAAAACTTAAAAATCTTCTTTGAAAAAAACCCAAATAGCTAGAGTTTAGGTATTAAGCATGAAACATCTTTAAGTAAATATCTACAATATATTTTCAAATAAAAGCCCGGGGGTCAAAACCGGCCCTGTCCCAGGGGTGTCATTGTTTTTAACTACAGTAGAACTTCTATGAGTCGAACTTCGATTAGTCGATTTTCTAGATGTGTCGAAGAAAAATGAAAGTCCCGATTTTTCCCCTATATATACCTTATAGAAACCTATTTATGAGTCGAGATTTTATGTGTCGAATTTTTCGATGTGTCGAAGTTTTTTCGTTGTCCATATAAAGTAAATCTAGTGCAATTTACCACAAATAAGTCGAAGTCGTTCGATAATTTTTGACACCTTCGATCTCGAGATATTTTTTCGCACCTTAGCTGGCTGCGAAGACGATTTCCAATCAACTTGTGTGACAGGTGTTAATTACACAGCCGTGTGTTCAAACAGCCTTGTTTGCGATAAAATGTGTGATAAAATGCTTTAATCGTTTTCTATTTTAATTGCCGTAGTGGTAATTGACAGTAAACAGTAAGAACTACTTTCATTTGAAAACGGTCAAAACATCGGTGACCCGGTGTCGCGTGAGAATTACACGCGAAATATTTATTATAAGCTGATTTAGTTATCGCCCTTTCGTATTGTTACGCCTTTTGTAACTCTATTGTATACGTTAACGGGTAGTCCAAATAATTAGCCGTAAAAAAAGTTATTTAACATTCTATATTTATCATTGTACAATGTAAAATATCAGATTAATGATGGAAAAACATGAAATAGGTTTCGTTATAGATATTATAATTAGAAGTAGTCACGGGTCGAAATTTTGTCATGGAATTGAGAGAAATTCATGAGTCGAAGTCCCGATGTGTCGAAGTTTTTACGCAAGTCCCTTCAACTTCGACTTACCGAAGTTCTACTGTATATGTGTATAGTAAAAACTTAGAAAATCTTCTTTTAAAAAACCCAATGAGCTAGAACTTAGATGTTTAGCATGAAACATCTTCTTATGGGTGTCTACCAAGTCTGTTCAAATAAAAGCCCTTGGGTAAAAATTGGCCCGGGAGGGGGGGGGGCTATATACGGGTGAGCGACCTCAGGGCCATCATGGCCCTCTTGTTCATTATCCTTTCAAGATACTATAGAATCAGCCACTAAATAATGATATCTTTTTGCAGACATGCTGGGGTATACACTGCTGAAGAGGTTGCTCTGATAATGCGTGACAAATTAATACGTTTACAGTCATTATATATAGACCAATTCAAGCGTTTACAACATGTTATGAAGGAGAAAAGGCGCAAATACCTACACACAGTAGATACTGAGAGGGAAATGTTAGGTAACTCATTTTAGACGTAACATTCTAAATTCAAATTGAGTAACCTGTCATATGGAATACCTTTGTCCTGCTGGAACCGAATAGTGATTAGCTAGGCTCTCTAAGTTTCAAAGCAGACTTCAGCTTTTAATTTTTTGTTGGAAAAAATATTTTTGTCTTGTTTCAAACTTAAGTATGGTAGGTAAGAGGTTTCAAATTTAAGTATGGTATATAAGAGGTATAAAGGGGTTTCCTTATTGTTTATGTATTTTGTCGAAAGCAAACTTCCTTCTCCTCTTTAAATCTTTTGGCTTGATAATTTTATGAAATGATTTATCTAAAAATAACATAACCTTTATAAAAGCTGAGGGCAACTTTAAATATTCATCTTGTTATACACAAAATTGATTATAGATAATTCTAGTCCATATGAGAATTCATCAGATTACGGGTAAACCAAATTAATATGGCATGCAGAAGGAAATGAAATCTTGTTAAAACAGCATGCCTCCAGTAGATAACAGATTATCTATTGTTCTTCAAATACGTCAAAAAGTTGCAAGAAATCAAATTAAACCATTGTGCATATTTTGACATTCATGCAGTGTTATCAGGCAGTAAGGCGTTTCACCATTGGGATATACCTTCTTTAAATATTCAACATATTTCCTTAAAAATAGAACTTTGTGTTTACATTTTCTTTAACTTTTACTATATATGTAATTGATAATGGTAGTCTTTTGTAATTCAGATGTAATTAATTGCATAAGTAATGAGATGTAATTGTAATTTAATGGTCTGCAGTGTCCGCATATCGGTCAGTACATATTTAGAAAATTTTATTAAAACTGATGAATGGTTATGTCCAGATTTAAAGATGGACAAATCCATGTCAGATATTTATTAGAAAAACATAAATAGTAACCTACCATGTGGTTTTCCATATTTCAGGTGGAATTGGTCAGTATGCAAAGGATGTAGATAGCCAGGAGAATTGGAATAGATATACAGCTATGAAAAGATATCATAAAAGATTTGGTGTGGTAAGTTTATTAATTTTAACATGCTTGTTTTCATTAATAGATGATATTGATTGAGTTAAGATTTAAGAATATCTGTCTCAGTTGCTATTAAACACTGGTTTGGAGTTTTTGATGCCTAGGAATTTACCACAAAGACCATAGGAAAACCAGTGTACAATAGCCAATAAACACTTTTCAGACCAATATTACGATTACAACTAGATAAAACAAGGGAGATCACTAAAGATTTTTTCTAGCATAGATTATATCTGCTGACAATTTTCATATTGGGCTGTGCACCCTACTGTTGTTAAGGTTTAAAAAAAGAAATAAAAAAAACAAAAAATTGCTCTTTATTTTTCAAAAAATATTTTATCAGTTTTTAAACAATTTAAACTTGCATATCAGACCAGATTGTATTGTATTCAAGTTTGAAAATCTCAAACAATAATCATTAATTCATGGCTTAATTATTACAACTGAATATTTAACATTCTGATTACTAAATTGAATAAAGTAATGATTTCCTAATTGTAATTTTTAGCTCGATTATTTGATAAGAATAAGTAGAGCTATTGAAGTCACTCGAGCGTCGGCGTCTGCGTCGGCGTAACCATTTATGTTAAAGTTTTTGTAATACCTCCATTGACATATGGCTTTGAAACCTTTGCACACTTGTTCACCATCATGACCCCCAACCTGTAGACAGGAGGAGGTAACTCTATCAAGCATTTTGACAGAATTATGCCCCTTTTTCAACTTAGAATTTACGTTAAAGTTTTTGTAATACCTCAAATATTTTCAAAGTCCATTGACATATGGCTTTTAAACTTTGCACACTTGTTCACCATCATGATCCCAACCTGTAGACAGGAGGAGGTAACTCTATCAAGCATTTTGACAGAATTATGCCCCTTTTTTGACTTAGCATTTACGTTACAGTTTTTGTAATACCTCAAATATTTTCCAAGGCCATTGACATATGGCTTTGAAACAAACTTTGCACACTTGTTCACCATCATGACCCCAACCTGTAAACAGGAGGAGGTAACTCTATCAAGCATTTTGACAGAATTATGCCCCTTTTTTGAATTTACGTTAAAGTTTTTGTAATACCTCAAATATTTTCAAAGTTCATAAGGCTTTGAAACATGTTCAAATTTTATACTCTTCTTTGACAGCATAATAGGACTCTCTTCAATGCCTATAACTGTAATATGGATTTAAAGAAAAAATTTGCCTTTTTCTTTACTGAGAAAATTTTACCTTTTAATCAAGGCTTTTTTTACTATCAAGCACCAAGAATAGTCGAGCGTTGCTGTCCTACCGACAGCTCTTGTTTAAGTTTATTGTGTTTATATGTAATTTTTAGCTCGACTATTCGATAAGAATAAGTAGAGCTATTGCAGTCACCCGAGCGTCAGTGTCGGCGTCTGCGTCGGCGTAACCACTTATGTTAAAGTTTTTGTAATAGTTCAAATATTTTCAAAGTCCATTGACATATGGCTTTGAAACTTTGCACACTTGTTCACCATCATGACCCCAACCTGTAGACAGGAGGAGGTAACTCTATCAAGCATTTTGACAGAATTATGCCCCTTTTTCGACTTAGAATTTATGTTAAAGTTTTTGTAATACCTCAAATATTTTCAAAGTCCATTGACATATGGCTTTGAAACTTTGCACACTTGTTCACCATCATGACCCCAACCTGTAGACAGGAGGAGGTAACTCTATCAAGCATTTTGACAGAATTATGCCCCTTTTTTCGACTTAGAAATATATGTTAAAGTTTTTGTAAATACCTTAAATATTTTCCAAGTCCATTGACATATGGCTTTGAAACTTTGCACACTTGTTCACCATCATGACCCCAACTTGTAGACAGGAGGAGGTAACTCTATATCAAGCATTTTGACAGAATTATGCCCCTTTTTCAACTTAAAATTTATGTTAAAGTTTTTGTAATACCTCAAATATTTTCAAAGTTCATTGACATATGGCTTTGAAACTCTGCACACTTGTTCACCATCATTACCCCAACCTGTTAAAAGGAGAAGGTAACTGTATCTAGCATTTTTTTTTTACTATCAAGCACTAAGAATAGTCGAGCGTTGCTGTCCTACCGACAGCTCTTGTTTAAGTTTATTGTGTTAATATGATATTAAGAATACAACTTACTGTTTCAGGAAGCGTTATTACATCGTCAGTCAAAGGAAAGACGGATAGCCGTATCTGAGGGAAGTAACTACAAGCCGCCAGCGTTACATAAGTGTATACATACACATTTAGGAGAGAAATGCCAGAGTCCAATTGTTCCTCTGTCTAAATACTGCCTTAAACGTATCCTTATTTAAAGTTATAGAACTCTGGTGAGGTGGTCTCTAAGGTTAGTTAGGGTTGCTTTGAAGGAATCCTTTACAATGAACATTAACCCTAGCAATACGTAATTAGAGAGAATTATGTATAAAAATGAGGTTAAATTGTAAAAAGTATATCAGCTTAATTCAGTAAGAAAATCTCTATTTGGATGTGTTTTCCTAACAGAGATTTCTTTTACTTATGTCTTAGATATGGTTTAATTTTGATTGTATTCCAAATAGTATTATGTATTTGTAATTCGTTTTCATGAAAAATTTGCATAGTTTACAAAACATTGACAAGATTTTCAAACTCCAAAGGATTTAGATGTTTTTGCAGCCCTAGGAAAATGCATCTAAATGACACAAGGTTCTAACATTTGTCCTTTAGCTTGTCTTGTGTTAACTTAAAAATGCAGAAGATATGTTACACCTGTGTCATTGATATTTGTTTTGCTACTTGTTGATATTTGTAGAACCGATAAATGGAATGAATCTTGTTTAGCCCTTACCATGCTGAACTTCTTATATAAACTTAGCTTCCATTTTTAGCTCGACTATACGAAGTATATGGAGAGCTGTCCTACTCGCCCCGGCGTCCGCGTCCAGATTTCAGATTAAAGTTTTGGTGCAGTAAAATATTTTTCACTATAACTTTGTCATTTCTTAAGGTATCAACTTCAAACTTCAAATATATGTTCCTTATCATCAACCACATCTTATGTGACAAGGTTCATAACTCTAGCACCAATATTTTTCAGATTTATCTCCCCTTGAACTTAGAATTTTCCTTAAAAAATACTATTTTTAGCTTGACTATTCGATAAGAATAAGTAGAGCTATTGCAGTCACCCGAGCGTCGGCGTCGGCGTAACCACTTATGTTAAAGTTTTTGTAATAGTTCAAATATTTTCAAAGTCCATTGACATATGGCTTTGAAACTTTGCACACTTGTTCACCATCATGACCCCAACCTGTAGACAGGAGGAGGTAACTCTATCAAGCATTTTGACAGAATTATGCCCCTTTTTCGACTTAGAATTTACGTTAAAGTTTTTGTAATAGTTCAAATATTTTCAAAGTCCATAGACATATGGCTTTGAAACTTTGCACACTTGTTCACCATCATGACCCCAACCTGTAGACAGGAGGAGGTAACTCTATCAAGCTTTTTGACAGAATTATGCCCCTTTTTCGACATAGAATTTACGTTAAAGTTTTTGTAATAGTTCAAATATTTTTCAAAGTCCATTGACATATGGCTTTGAAACTTTTGCACACTTGTTCAACATCATGACCCCAACCTGTAAACAGGAGGAGGTAAACTGTATCAAGCATTTTGACAGAATTATGCCCCTTTTTCGACTTAGAATTTACGTTAAAGTTTTTGTAATAGTTCAAATATTTTCAAAGTCCATTGACATATGGCTTTGTAACTTTGCACACTTGTTCACCATCATGACCCCAACCTGTAAACAGGAGGAGGTAACTGTATCAAGCATTTTTTTTACTATCAAGCACTAAGAATAGTCGAGCGTTGCTGTCCTACCGACAGCTCTTGTTTACTGTTACTTCTTTATTTCTGAAGGGATCAACCTCATACTTCAAATATATGTACCTTATCATCATCCCCATCTTATGTGACAAGGTTCATAACTTTAGCACCTATATTTTCAGATTTATCTCCCCTTGAACTTAGAATTTTCTTTAAAAAATATTATTTTTTACTGTAACTTATTTATTTCTAAAAGGATCAACTTCATACTTCAAATAAATGTACCTTATCATCATCCACATCTTATGTGACAAGGTTCATAACTCTAGCACCAATATTGCAAGAATTATCTCCCCATCAACTTAGATTTTTTTACTAGAAAAATGTTATTTTATACTATAACTTTTTTAGTTTTAAAGGTATCTACCTCAAACTTCAAATACTTATTCCTTATAATCAATTATATTTTATGTGACAATGTTCATAACTCTTGAAGTAATTTTTACAAATTTATTTCTCTTTGAACTTAGGGTTTTCTTTAAGAAATATTATAACTTTGTTACTTTTTAAGGTAATTACTTCAAACTTCAAATATATACTTCTTATCATTACATACATGTTGTGTGACAAGGTTCATAACTCTAGCGTGACTATTTCTAGAATTATTTCCCTTGATCTTGGAATTTATTTTAACAAATGTTATTCTTTTACTATTACTTAATACATAATTATACATAATTGATTTTCTTTCATAGTTTTGTCCTCCTTACTGCGTCCAGTATTTTATTAGTCGAGCTTGGCTGTCTCCTGTGACAGCTCTTGTTGGAATTGTCCATTATAAATTTTAGAGATATCAAGATGAAAATTGGAAATCAGCCAAAAGTATAGAGCATGGTCAGACTGCGGGCAGATTGGCAGACTATCTAGGCTCTATAGTGGTGGTAAAGTCCAACAGTTTATATTTCTGAAATATTTTGATAAGAAACAATTTTGCTGAACCATGGTGTTGCATCAAATTGTGTTCCATTATAATGTTTTATTCGGCTTTTTATATGCTCCCCGAAAAACTTCGGGGAAGCATATAGTCGGTGCCTTGTCCGTCTGTCCGTCTGTTGTCTTGTCCGGAGCATAACTTGAAACCCTTGGAGATAATTTGTTGAAACTTCATACAGTGGTAGAGGGCTTTGAGGGGGAGTGCAGTAAGCTCACCTGTCACAAAGTGACAGGGTGAGCTTTTGTGATCGCTTTTCGTCCGGCGTCCGTCCGTCCGTAAACTTTTGCTTTAAATGACATCTCCTCATAAACCACTGAGCCAATTTCATCCAAACTTCACAGGAATGTTCCTTTGGTGGTCACCTTTAAAAATTGTTCAAAGAATTAAATTCCATGCAGAACTCTGGTTGCCATGGCAACCAAAATAAAAATCTTTAAATGTCTTCTTTTAAAAAACCATAAGAGCTAGGGGTTAGATATTTGGCATGAAACATCTTCTAGTGAGTGTCTACCAAATTGGTTCAAATAAAAGCCCTGGGGTCAAAATTGGCCCTGCCCCAGGGGGGCATTGATTTTCCCTATATGCATATAGTAAAAACTTAAAAAATCTTCTTTTAAAGAACCCAAAGAGCTAGAGCTAAGATATTGGGCATGAAACATCTTCTAGTGAGTGTCTACCAAGTTTGTTCAAATAAAAGCCCTGGGGTCAAAATTGGCCCCGCCCCTGGGGGTCATTGATTTTCCCTATATGCATATAGTAAAAACTTAAAAAATCTTCTTTTAAAGTACCCAAAGAGCTAGAGCTTAGATATTTGGCATGAAACATCTTCTAGTGAATGTCTACCAAGTTTGTTCAAATAAAAGCCCTGGGGTCAAAATTGGCCCCGCCCCTGGAGGTCATTGATTTTCCCTATATGCATATAGTAAAAACTTAAAAAATCTTTTTTTAAAGAACCCAAAGAGCTAGAGCTTAGATATTTGGCATGAAACATCTTCTAGTGAATGTCTACCAAGTTTGTTCAAATAAAAGCCCCGGGGTCAAAACTGACCCCGCCCCAGGGGGTCATAGGTTTTCCCTATATGCATATAGAAAAAACTTAAAAAATCTTCTTTTAAAGAACCCAAAGAGCTAGAGCTTTGATATTTGGCATGAAACATCTTCTAATGAGTGTCTACCAAGTTTGTTCAAATAAAAGCCCTGGGGTCAAAATTGGCCCCGCCCCAGGGGGTCATTGATTTTCCCTATATGCATATAGAAAAAACTTAAAAAATCTTCTTTTAAAGAACTCAAAGAGCTAGAGCTAAGATATTTAGCATGAAACATGTTCTAATGGGTGTCTACCAAGTATGTTCAAATAAAAGCCCCGGGGTCAAAACTGGCCCCGCCCGGGGGGGGTCATTGATTTTCCTTATATGTGTATAGCAAAAACTTAAAAATCTTCTTTGGAAAAACCCAAATAGCTAGAGTTTAGATATTAAGCATGTAACATCTTTAAGTAAATATCTACAAACTTTGTTTAAATAAACGCCCGGGGGTCAAAACTGGCCCTGCCCCAGGGGTGTCATTGTTTTTAACTATATGTGTATAGTAAAAACTTTAAAAATCTTCTTTTAAAAAAGCCAATGAGCTAGAACTTAGATGTTTAGCATGAAACATCTTCTTATGGGTGTCTACTAAGTCTGTTCAAATAAACAAATAAAAGCCCTTGGGTAAAAATTGGCCCGGGGGTGGGGGGGACTATATACAGGTGAGCGACCTAAGGGCCATCATGGCCCTCTTGTTGAATTATCTCCCCTTATAGAAAAATCTTGTCCGGGGCATAACTCTTAAACTATAAGAGATATCAACATGAAACTTTGTAGGTGAATAGATCTCATTGAGTAGAGGTGCAGTGCAAAAGAACCATAACTCTGTTAAGCCTCATTTTTGAATTATCTCCCCTTTTAGAAAAATCTTGTCCAGGACATAGCTGTAAAACTATAAGAGATATCAACATGAAACTTTGTAGGTAGATATATCTCAATGGGTAGATGTGCAGTGCACAAGAATCATAACTCTGCCTTGTCTAATTCTGGAGTTATTGCCCTTTGTTTATTTTTACTTTTTGAAATTGTCCGGGACATAACTCGGAAATCATAAGAGATATCATCAAGAAACTTTGTAGGTTGATAGATCACATTGATTAGAAGTGCAGTGCAAAGAACAGTAACTCTGCCTTGCCTAATTTTGGAATTATTGCACTTTGAACTTTTTCCAGGGACATAACTCTGAAACTACAAGAGGTGTACTTTCTGTGTCCAAAACCTATTCGGGGAGCATCACCCGGCTCAAACCGGGCTCTTGTTTGTGTAAGTTACCAGTTTATCAAATGTCTATATACATCATCAGCCTTGACAAATGAGCAGATATTTTATATGATGGCCACCAGGTGTTGTTCAGGAGTTGTAAGTTTGGAGATGGAGACTGTGATCAGCCAGTGGCATCACATGACGATGTACCATACTGTAACTTACATACAAAGATACCTAAAGATCTGGATACTAGCAATGCCAGCCTGTCTGAGAGTCCAATGAAGGTAATATACACAGCTGTTGTAGTCATAATAAGTGTTTCTCTCTCCTTTGTTTAACCTAGCCTACTACATCCAAAGGTTTCAAGTGAGATTTATCAACTTGTCTTAAACTATATATTTAGAGCATGTTTCTGTGGGCAAGTGGTAAATATTAATTAAAATTACTGTTATTGGTTCTATTCCGTTTAGGGACTAAGGGTATTTTTGCCAGGAAGGTATCCATCCAGCTTACATAAGGTTGGTGGTTCTACTTAGATGCTTGCTCAAGCCTGAAGTAATATGACCATTTAACCAACCCCACATAAAAAAGCATAGCTGTAACGTTCTTTATCAGATTTGTGTATCATAGGAACTTTGACCCGATCTGTAAATACCGTACTTGTTATTTATTTGCTGTTGAGTGCAATGAAATGCTACTCTATGTTTAGCTTCCATTTTCCTCACTTGTAATTTTGCTCACTGTTGTCAAAGGTTCAGGTTTAGTTTCATAGTGTTTATTCGCTTACTTGAATAGGGCAAGCAATAAGCTGTATGCAAGCGGTATCTGGTTCAATCCTTGAGCGTGGCCAAAAATTCATGGTGACAGTTGATCTCGGATATTGAGTGTTATGGTCATTTGTCTCTGGACACTGATTCAGAAATCGTGTGGGATTAGTAGTCCGGCTCTTCCAGAGAAATTGGTTATTTCTGGTTAATCATCCACAATAGGCCATTTAAGTAGACCTACCCTGGAGATGAGACTAAAAATGTGTTAAAATTGTTAAAACAATCTTTGTTCGCATATTAATAGATTATTTACTGGTTTCATCATATCTTAGCTTAGATCAGTGTTGTGTAGGAAAGCAGATGAATACCTTCATATTGTGAACAAGTAAACACTAAAATGCTGAGAAATTTGTTTCTTAAAAAGAGAACTAGCAAATTCAAAGCTTAAAAACTGATGGCCTCCCAGAAAATCAAATTGAATCAAATATTCATTTGTATACTTGTAGACTGAAGCGCCTGTTGAAGATATCATAGATGTAACAACAGACATTCCAATGGACACAGAACCAACTATGTCAACAAGTACTGTTGCGATGGAAAAGACAGACACAAAACAAAAAGCCAGCGATCAGGGAGATCCAGTATCAGAAGAGGTTCTTATGAAGAAGGGGAAATATTTATTACAGCATCTGAAGAATTTAGATCCTCTCACAGGCGAATTTACTACCATTGAACCATCTACATCTGGGAAATCATGAAAACTCTTGTTCGGTTACTCTACCAAGATAGTAAAGAATTTAATGTGCCATAAAGTAATGTGCAGCATAGTTACTTTAATAGATAGCTGTTATGTTTATGATTAAAGCTAAGAGGAATAGGAGCAAAAGAGAATATATGTAGTGCTTGTTACAGCAAGTTTGGGGATCATTTGATTGAATATAATTTGATGTTTTGTTTTAGTGCTATTGAAATATATGGAAACAATAATGTAATAAGAATAAAAAAATGTAAACGCTAAAAAAATAGTTTATTAAATAATCAAATGAGGTACATATTGATGTATTTTTAGCTCTTGTGATCACAACTGGTCCGGAGTCTGTCTGTAAACTTTTACTTTGAAGGACATCTCCTTATAAACCACTAAGTCATTTTCATCCAAACTTCACAGGAATGTTTCTTTGATTGTGACCTTTAAATATTGTTCAAAGAATTTTTATTCCATGCAGAACTCTTTTAAAAAGCCTAAAGAGCTACAGCTGGCATGAAACATTTTCTAGTGAGTGTCTATCAAGCTTGTTCAAATAAAAGCCCTGGCCCCATGTTTATCAAGATTTAAGGATCAAGATCATGATCAAATTTAAAAAGATCAAATATTCTCCTTTATCCTCGTAGATTAAATATTTAATATTAAACTTGATAAAATTTGACTTGAAATGGTATATCTATGACATTTTAGAATAAATTTATAATAATTCTTGCAAGATATGGGCATTTTTACAGTTGATCCAAATATTGATCTTGATCCTAAAATTAATCCCTTATTTTCTTATTTTGTTTTGGTATTTGTCGATTTTATCCCAAACTAGGTTTGTTTCTTTGCAAATAAGCACATTTTTTATTGATTTTCCTAATAGTAAAAACTTGAAAAGTCTTCTTTTAAAAAAAATCCAAATAGCTAGAGCTTAGATGTTAAAAATGAAAAATATTCTAGTGAGTGTCTACCATGTTTGTTATGCTCCCCGAAGGGAAAGCATATAGTTGCCGCCTTGTCCGTCTGTTGTCTTGTCCGGAGCATAACTTGAAAACCCTTGGACATCATTTGTTTAAATTTCACATATTGGTAGTGGGCATTGAGGCGGAGTGCAGTGTCAAAGAACCATAACTCTTAATTTGCCCCGTTTATGAATTATCTCCCCTTTTAGAAAAATCTTGTCAGGGACATAACGCTAAAACTATAAGAGATATCAACTTGAAACTTTGTAGATAGATCTCAATGGGTAGATGTGCATTGCACAAAAACCGTAACTCTGCCTTGCGTGATTTTGGAGTTATTGCCCTGTGTTCATTTTAACTCTTTGAACATTGTCCGGAACGTAACTCTAAAATTATAAGAGATATCAATGTGAAAATTTGTAGGTAGATAGCTCTCATTGGGTAGAAGTGCAGTGCAAAAGAACCATAACTTGTTTAGTCCCGTTTTTGAATTATCTCCCCTTTTAGAATTTTTTTTTGTATTTTTGGAGTTATTGCCCTTAATTTTTACACTTCAAACTTTGTCCAGAACATTACTCTTAGATTATAAGAGATATCAACTCCAAACTTTGTAGGAAGATAGCTCTCACTGGGTAGAAGTGCAGTGCAAAAGAATCATGACTTGTTTAGCCCTGTTTTTGAATTATCTGTCCTTTTAGAAAAATCTTGTCCGGGACATAACTTTTAAACTTTAAGAGATATCAACATGAAACTTTGTAGGTAAATAGATCTGAATCAGTAGATGTGCAGTGCTTAAGAACTGTAACTCTGCATTGCCTAATTCTGGAGTTATTCATTTTTAGCTCACCTGTCACAAAGTGACAGGGCGACCTTTTGTGATCGCTTTTTGTCCGGCCGTCGTCCGTCCGTCCGTAAACTTTTACTTTAAATGACATCTCCTCATAAACCACTAAGCCAATTTCATCCAAACTTCACAGGAATGTTCCTTTGGTGGTCACCTTTAAAAATTGTTCAAAGAATTTAATTCCATGCAGAACTCTGGTTGCCATGGCAACCGAAAGAAAAAACTTTAAATATCTTCTTTTAAAAAACCATAAGAGCTAGAGCTTAGATATTTGGCATGAAACATCTTCTAGTGAGTGTCTACCAAGTTTTCAAATAAAAGTCCTGGGGTCAAAATTGGCCCCGCCCCGGGGGGTCATTGATTTTCCCTATATGAATATAGTAAAAAATTAAAAATTCTTCTTTTAAAGAACCCAAAAAGCTAGAGCTAAGATATTTAGCATGAAACATGTTCTAATGGGTGTCTACCAAGTTTGTTCAAATAAAAGCCCTTGGGTCAAAATTGGCCCCGCCCCGGGGGGTCATTGATTTTCCCTATATGCATATAGTAAAAACTTTAAAAAATCTTCTTTTAAAGAACTCAAAGAGCTATGGCTAAGATATTGAGCATCAAACATGTTCTAATAGGTGTCTACCAAGTTTGTTCAAATAACAGCCCTGGGGTCAAAATTGGCCCCGCCCCAGGGGTCATTGATTTTCCCTATGTGCATATAGTAAAAACTTAAAAAATCTTCTTTTAAAGAACCAAAAGAGTTACCGCTAAGATATTTAGCATGAAACATGTTCTAATAAGTGTCTACCAAGTTTGTTCAAATAAAAGCCCTGGGGTCAAAATTGCCCTGCCCTGGGGGGTCATTGATTTTCCCTATATGCATATAGTAAAAACTTAAAAGATCTTCTTTTAAAGAACTTAAAGAGCTATGGCTAAGATATTAAGCATCAAACATGTTCTAATAGGTGCTTACCAAGTTTGTTCAAATAAAAGCCCTGGGGTCAAAATTGGCACCGCCCGGGGGTCATTGATTTTCCTTATATGTGTATAGCAAAAAACTTAAAAAAATCTTCTTTGAAAAAACCCAAATAGCTAGAGTTAAAATATTAAGCATGAAACATCTTTTAGTGAGTGTCTACAAAGTTTGTTCAAATAAAAGACCTGGGGTCAAAATTGGCCCCGCCCCGGGGGTCATTGATTTTCTTTATATGTGTATAGCAAAAACTTAAAATCTTCTTTGGAAAAACCCAAATAGCTAGAGTTTAGATATTAAGCATGAAACATCTTCTAGTAAGTGTCTACAAAGTTTGTTCAAATAAAAGCCCTGGGGTTAAAACTGGCCCGGCCCCAGGGGTGTCATTGTTTTTAACTATATGTGTATAGTAAAAACTTTAAAAAAATCTTCTTTTAAAAAGCCCAATGAGCTAGAGCTTAGATGTTTAGCATGAAACATCTTCTTATGGGTGTCTACCAAGTTTGTGCAAATAAAAGCCCTTGGGTTAAATATTGGCCCTGCAACGTTTGGGGGTGGGGGTTGGGGGGCCTATATACAGGTGAGCGACCTCAGGGCCATCATGGCCCTCTTGTTTTATTTTTACATTTTGAACTTTGTCCGAGTTTTATCTCGGAAACCATAAGAGGTATCAACAAGAAACTTTGTAGGTAGATAGATCTCATTGATTAGAAGTCCATTGCAAAGAACAGTTACTCTGTCTTGCCTAATTTTTCAATTACATGTATTGCACTTTGAACTTTGTCCAGGGACATAGCTCTGAAACTACAAAGGGTGTACTTTCCTGTGTTCAAAATCTATTCGGGAAGCATCACCCGGTTCAAACCAGGCTCTTGTTTAAATAAAAGCCCAGGGGTCAAAATTGGCCCCGCATGGATGGGGTCAATGACTTAATTTATATATACAGAACTTTTGGGACTGTTGTTTTCCCTTAGCAATAGCAACCAGTAATGTTTGTACACATGCACTATTTCTGATACAAATATGAGCTTTTTGTGATATCAGTTTTAGATTTAGACTTTATATCTGCTTTTGTTTATAGATTACAATATTACTTTTTCCTTGTCGTGGAGAGCAATTTCAGGACCATCTTGACCCTCTTGTTTAATCAAAGACCTAGTCAAGCTTTGTCAGTGATAAATACAGTGGATAAGAAAAAAGGATTTCTTTAACAATATACTACAGGAACATAAATTTATGTTAAATGCCCGTCTGCATGTATTATAGAAGCTTAATTGTGTAGTTAAATTGCCGTCACTAGATGAATTCTATGAATTCTGTTTAAAACATGTTCTATCAATAAACATGTAAACATAAAAAGGATATTCAAACCATGGAAAGCAGCTACCATGAAGAAATGTTTTATTTTTGTGCCCCCACTTTAGGGGGGTCATTTATTCCGTTCATCCATCTGTCCTTCCGTCCGTCCGTCCTCATTTTGTGTCGCACGTAGCTCATAAAGTATTTGACCTAGAGTCGGAAAACTTTACAGGAATGTTGATCAGCACTCATTCGTGTCCGGACTGTAACTTTGTCATGCATCGAGGGATTTTAAAATAACTAGGCATAAATGTCTAGCACATCAAGACGACATGTCACGGCTAAGACCATGTCCCTACCTTTAAGGTCAAGGTCACGCTTAAAGCTTGAAGGTACTCATTCTCTCAAGAAGAGTTTGAAGATACACATTCATGTCCGGACTGTAACTTTGTCATGCATGGAAGGATTTTAAAATAACTTGACACAAATGTTTACCACATCAAGACAATTTGTCGCGGTGTAACTGTGTCATGCATTGAGGGATTTTGAAATAACTTGGCACAAATGTCTATCTCATAACAACATTCTGTCGCGTCCAGGAACCACGCCCTTCTTCAAAGGTCAAGGTCACACTTATATTTTGAAGGTTAAGTTTGTTATCACAATTAGAGATTACAGGTACAATAATACAAAGAACAATATTAAGCAATTAGTTACTTTCATTCTCTTTTCTTTTCATAATACCTGCATGCTCCGTAAGAAACTTTTTCGGGGGCGGTCGCAGCTCTTGTTTTTTTTTAGTATTTTTACAGTTATTGCCCTTGACTTAGTAAAAATTTGCAATTTTCAACTTATGTCGCATGAAACTTTACAGGAATGTTGATCAGCATGTGTAGTTGTGCACCTGGGTATTTTCATGTGGATATATTTAGTATATTTTGTTGTTTGGTTGACGTCGTGTTTGCTACGATCGAACTAAAAGTGACAGACCTGAACAAACTCAAGGTCTGTAAAACGAGATGTATTTGCACCCGGGCTTTTGGTTTTGGCCGGGGTTAGTTACTACTGCAAGACATTTCCATTTTTTATGAATACAGGGGTAAAAGTCAATTCAAAATATTACATATACAAAGTTCTAAAGCCAAAAAAGAATAAATAAAAAAATAAATAGAATTTAACAAATATTAAAAAAAGTTCCGCTTTAATAAATATTAAAAAAAAGTTCCG